TTTGCACACTCAGGACAGGGGTTCCCATGAGTGTAGGGGAACTTAGATTAAGACATTGTACATTTCAGTAGCCTGCCACAATCCTGTAATACTGGTCCACATTAAATGCAAATGAGCATGCTGCAAGCATATGGATGTAGCATTCAGTAACTGCTGTGCTGTACCAAAAGACAATGCAAGCTTATGCAGCATCAGCATTCACCAGATAGGATTTTAATTACCATTCAGTGCAATCAGTGACTTACCTATATTGATGGTGTTAGGGAATCCTCCAAAGCCTTCGCCTGCCAGGCTCACCAGCAGAAGGAAGACAGTCCGGATCAGGTTTTGCCCCATTTTCAGAGCCTTCCAAATTCAATTTCTAAAACGAAACTGACACAGCCCGAGCTGGGATCAGCCAGCACTTTCCTCGCCCAGTCTATTCTACAGCACCCTGGACAGTTCCATTGGCTGCAGTCTGCGAATCACAGCGATCCAGCACCCTTCCCCACTACGGAAAATCGGGGGACTTTTCCCAAAGATGGTGGTAGTGGAAAGAGAAAGGGAGTGAGGAAAAGATCAGATGAATAAGGCTCTTCCAATTGGACCAGCAGGGGGGCTATTGATCAAACTTGATCTGACGTTGAGTTAAAGCAGCATCGTTCAGCTCAGCCTCACTGCAGCCCCGACAAGACTGCAAAGCACAAGCTCTGCATTTGTCTGCGCTCAGATACGATCAATACAAGCACACCAGGCTCACGTGGATCCCGGCTTAACCTCTTCATGGCCGAGAACAACACAGCTCTTGTCTCTTCTCCATCCCCCCCAAAAAATCAAAGCGCTCCTAGTCCTCCCTGCGACCCGCTGCACCTCATCCGAGAGTAGAAGTGGGCATAGGGTAATGGCAGTCTATGGATCCCTCTGCAGATATGTGCCACAGCCTTGCAGGCACCAGACTCATGCCCTGTCGCTATTAGTGAGAAACACAAGGCGAAGTCATTGCTTGCAACTGCGGGGCTAGGCACTGCTGGCTAAGCTGCATTTGCAGAGCTTAACTGAATCAGATATATAAGATATATCATATATATAGATATATAAAATATTATATCTATATATGACATATATATCTATATATGTATATAGATATATATATCTATGGGTTGTTTTTTTTTGCTTTGTACTTCCCTTTTTTTCTGCTTCTTAAGCTGCAGGGTTTTTTTAATGCACACATAGCATTTCCCCAGCTTCTACACATCAGACCAACATACCAATGGGCAAATAATTAGGTTTGGACAAACAGGAACTGTGTTTAACATAGTACTTAAGGTGCTTTTTTTCCATGTAATAAATTTGTACAAACAAATTTAGCCCAAAATAATGCGTGTCCAAAATATCCCGAGACACATTTATATTCATATCACAACCTCAGCTTCAGTTTACTTTGCACAGCGTCCCTGAACTGCAGGTTGAGGAGTTTGCACTCCCAAACTTACTACATGCAGGGTCGTCCCTATATTAAGGCAGACTCAGATGGCATCTCATTGGGTCACATGGGGTCACCCACTTTCCAGCCAGAGCGTCCCAGTTTGCTAAGAGCTTTGGATGGCTTCCTGCCCAGCTCCTGGCAACCAATGAGATCATTGGGACACCAGGCAGAGGTACCATGCACCGACAACCATCCCCCCCAGGGTAACGTGCACTGACACCCACACTCCCATGCTGGTAGCATGCACCGCCCAACCCCACCCCCATGCTGCAGCCTCAACAATCGCCCTAGAAGTAGTGAAAAGTGTAGGGACACCTCTGTCTGCATCTATGGCCATCAGATCCTAATCCTCGAGACCGCATGTCCGATAATATACACCAGGCATTCAGGGCCCATTCACATCATGCCAGCTGATGGTGTGCATTTGGCAGGCAAAGTTCTGATGCGCCAAACGTGATGCATTACATTGTTTACTCTCTTTTTGTTAGAAATGTATTGAAAAGTCACAAGTGGCATTTCATCAAGTTCTATCAGCACAGCACGATGCAATGCAGCTGTACCATGTTGCACCACGATGCGCTGAAACTTTTTTCAGCGCACACCATTGCAACTCAGAAGTGTGAACTTTGCCCATTTTAAACAACACAAATTGCCTTGTCTATGCATTGGGGCTGTATCATTTGCTTCTTCCAGTGCCTATATTGGCACTTAAATTTTTTTAATAGATTTGGCTGTCTGAGGTCCTGTGCTTCCTGGTGACCTCAGGCAGCCTTGTGGGGACCTCGCAACGGCTGTCCTTGACAGCGCCGGTACAGCCGCCCAGTCCTCCTCCTTCCTGCTGCCCGCAGAGACTGGCACAGCCCTGGACAGCCCAACACCTACCTGTAAAGCCCTGGAAAGCCCCACACTGCCCATACAGCCCCGAAGTGCCTGTCACCTGCCGGTACAGCCCTGGGGAGACCCACATGCAGCCCTGGTAGACCAAAAACGCAGCCATGGTGAGACTCGAACGCAGCTCTGGTGAGAACTGCATGCAGCCTTGGTGACACCAGGGTTGCCACCTATCCGGGATTCCACCGGACAGTCCAGTTTTTGAGTCTTTTGTCCGGTTGTTAGGTTAGCTGACACCCGGACACAAGACACTAAGTGCCGATACCGGCATTTTACATTTTTTGACAAATGGGGCTGCCTGAGGTCCACAGCAAGCGAAGAGCCTCAGGCAGCCGAATCTGCCTGAAGCCGCAGGCTCCTGTAAACAGGCATAGGCCGGCCAGCACATCTCCTCCTCTGGCTCCTTCCTGACAGCACGCTGCCTGCCTCCGGACCCCTGGTGAGGCACCTGTACATCCCGCACAGCCTCCTAAAAGCCAGCATAGCCCACCTCAGACCCTACACAGCCACCTTAGAGCCCACATAGCCCACCGGAGACCCAGAATAGCCCACCTGAGAGCCCACCTGAGAGTCTGCATAGACCACCTAAGAATTTGCATAGCCCATCTGAGACCCACACAGCCATCTGAGAGTGTGCATAGCCCATCTGAGAGTGTGGATAGCCCACCTAAGAACCCACACAGCCATCTGAGAGCCTGGATACCCCACATGAAACCCCACATAGCCATCTGAGAGCCTGCCTAGCCTACCCTAGAGTGTGCATAGCCCACCTGAGAGTCCACATAGCCACCTGAGAGTCCGCACAGCTCACCTGAGAGTCCGCACAACCCACCTGAGAGTACACACAGCCCACCTGAGAGTCCGCACAGCCCACCTGAGAACCCGCAGAGTCAAACTGAAAGCCTGCACAGCCCTGATGAGAGCCAGCACAGGCAACCTGAGACACTGGAGACATCAGGGCACCACCCCAGCACAACACAGAGTATATAGCTTGATATTATTTTGTATTGCTGTATAATCTGTTGCTGGGATTTGCAGTCCTCTATAGCCAGTCTCCTTACTCCCTCCCCTGGCTGTCTCTTCTTGCTCTTTCTCCTGGCTGCCTCTCCTCACTCCCTCTTTATTCTAAAACAAATTGCTGCATGCAGCACTAGAGTGTTCAGGTTTAACTTGAAGAAAGGTGGCAACCCTACGTAACACCAGGGCGCAGCCCTGGTGAGACCCAAATGCAGCCCTGATGAGACCCAAAGGCAACTCTAGTGAGATCTGCATGTAGGTGACACCGAAACTCAGCCTCGGTGAGACCAAACCCAGCCCTAGTGAGACCCGCACGCAGCCCTAGTGAGACCTGCACGCAGCCCTAGTGAGACCTGCATGCAGCCCTGGTGAGACGCTGCATGCAGTCCTGGTGAGACCACAAACAGCCCTGGTGAGACCCACACGGAGCCCTGGTGAGACCGCACTTAGCCCTGGTAAGACCGCACACAGCCCTGGTGAGTCCGCACACAGCTCTGGTGAGACCTCACAAAGCCCTGGTAAGAACGCACATCCCTGTTGAGACTCGCATGCATCCCTGGTGTGACTACACAGCCCTGGTGAGACACCGCGCGCAGTTCTGGTGAGACCGCACACAGCCCTAGTGAGACCTGCACGCAGCCCTAGTGAGACCTGCACGCAACCCAGGTGAGACCGCACAAAGCCCTGGTAAGACCATACACAGACCTGGTAAGACCGCACAGCCCTGGGGAGATTGCACGCAGCACTGGTGAGACCCCAGACATCCTCCTGAGACCCTGCACAGCCCTGGTGACATCCTGTACAGTCCTGGGGAGACCCTGCACAGCCCTGGTGAGACTGTACACAGCCCTAGTGAGCCCCCGAACATCCTCCTGAGACAGACTGCTGTGCGCAGTCTCGCTAGGCTGCGTGCACAGCCTTGTGAGACTGCGCACAACCCTAGTCACACCCCGCACAGCCTCCTGAGACCCTGTTACAGCCCTGGGGAGACCCTGCACAGCCCTGGTCAGACCGTGCACAGCCTCCTGAGATGCGGCACAGCCCTGGTGAGCAACACAGAGTATGTAGCTTCATATTATTCTGCATTACTGTATAATGTATTGCTGGGATTTGTAGTCCTCTATAGCTGATGGTATTCTGCATTGCTGTATAATGGATTGCTGAGATTTGTAGTCCTCTATAGCCGGTGCCTTTCTGCATTGCTGTATAATATATTGCTGGTAATTGTAGTATTCTATAGCTGGTGGCATTCTGCATTGCTGTTTAATTGTTTGCTGGGATTTGTAGTTCCTCTACAGCTTGGAGTCAGTGGCAGAACTACCATGGTTGCAAGAAATGCAGCTGTGACTGGGCCCTGGTGCTGCACCACTTTCCTAAAATCATTAGTCTGTATTGGTTTAGTAAAAATGTCACATGTCACTTTTTTAAATAAAGTATCGGTAATTGGTATCGGCGAATACTGCAGAAACAGTGCTTGTACGTGTACTTGGTCTTGGTCTCGGTGCATCCCTAACTATTTTTATTACCATCTGGTAATCACTACCATTGTTGCATGTATACGAGACCTTGCAACAGAGCTTGCAAGGATATATAAATTGGCTTTTGTATCATTGAAGTGTGTTACACTTTAAAGATTGGATAATACTACAGTCTTTTGTGGCAGCTGTATCCTATAGCATGGCAGTCTTTAGTCACATTGCAATTTCTTGTGAAAAAAAGTTTTCTATGGCATCACAGTTATGTAGTTACACAGTTACATAGTAAAGTTGAAAAAAGACAAAAGTCCATCGTGTTCATTAGTAGAATTAGTAACACCATACACCCACAGCCAACTACACCCCACACCCAACTTATGAAGCATTGAAGCATGGCCCAATTAGTTCCTGCGTACAGGAGCAAGACACACACACTCTCTCTTTCTCTCTCTCTCGTCTATACCACTTTTAATAAAGGAAAGACTTTTGCTTGCTTTAGAAACTGCAGTTTTGCATTGCATGCTATCATTAAGGCTATGATCTACCAAAACACCCAGATAATGAAAAAACAAGAGAAGAGTGCAACAACCTTGTGTGTTACC